TCAGCTGCTGCCAGGGCTGCAGGGTAAAGAGTTCAAAAGTGCAGAAGGGGACAGATAAGCAGGAGCCTCCTGGGTAAGGGTGGTTTCTGGCAGGACAGAAGGACAGCAAGGCCACTGCCAGAACTAAAATCAGGAAACCACCAGAGCCCTGAGTAGGGGGCCCTGAGCAGAGCCCCTGGGGGTGCGCCTGGAGGGTGGCCCCTCGGCTCTGCCCACCCAGCTGATGTGGTTTGTGTCAACACAAAAAGGGCTCTAAGACACTGACTCTCCAGATTTTCCTATCACGTGGTCTGACCCTGACCTCCTGCCTTTGGACTTGTATAGAACTATCTGAGTGAAGCTCCTAGTGTGTATTAACTCCAGCCCCATACATTAAGTAGCTTGTGCTACTCCTCCAACGCTCTCAGACCAGGAAACTGAGACCCAGAGAGAGAAAGGGGACTCAGCCAAGACTCCTAGTGTTTGTCAGAAACAGAGAAAGAACACAGTTCTCCTATCTCTCTGTTCTGTGTTTTCTCCACCATAGGGTACTGTCTTTCCCAATGGAGGAAGAAATCAGCTTGATTACCTGTTTAGCTTTATCTTTTGCAATATTGCTGTTAAAATTAAACTAAGGCAGATTCTAGAGTCAGAGAGAGCCAGATTCAAATTTCAGCTCCACCACTCACCAAGAGCAATAGAATAAGTAACTTGATTTCTGTAGCTCAGGGTTTCTTCTCTAGAAACAGCACCTGTATCATAAGGTCGTGTGAAGATTAATTGAGTTAATGTATGTGAAGAGTGCAGCATGATTTATTACCCAGCAGGAAATAAGCACTCAATAAAGGCTAGCTGTTTTTGTTACCATTGTTGTTAGTATTTTAGTGAATATGCAAAGCAATTGATAACTAACATTTAAATAAGTGTTATGGTGAAAGCCTATTACCTATATTTGGATGTACATGAGTGAACCTGAGAACATTTTTTTTCACTAAGCCACTTAAATTTCCACTTTGAAATTTTGGTTTTGCAAGCTCAAAACACTAAATTTCCACCGATCTTTTCATGTATCCACCTCTTCCTAAAACGTTGAACTACAGTATTGGCTCACCATAAGTGTCCACTAGATGTTTCCAGATAGATCGATGGATGATGGATAGTTGGATGGATGACAGATGGATGGATGGCGTATGATTGGATGATGGATGGATGGATGGATGGATGGATGGATGGATGGATGGATGGATGATGTATGGTGCTAAGACAGTCACTGAAGTAACCACCTTTGGTTCAGACTGGATAGTGGTCCCATTTCATAAAAAACCATAACAGATAGGCTGAGGGACTTGGATAACATGGTGAGGGGCCCAGAGATCTCAGTGCTGACAGAGACCAGGTGTAGTGGAGGTGAGGGGACATGGAAGGAAAGACTACGGTCAGAGACTGAGGGGACAGTATGAAATCCTAGAATAGGAGTGGTTTCTGCTGATAAAAGGTCTGTGCAGCAGCCATGGGGATGGGTGTCCAAAGCAGATAGCGGTTCCAGAGGTCCTTAAATCCAAGGAGTCCTAGGAGTTCTGAGTCCAGGTTATTGGATGGGTGATCCACCTGGTCTTTTATGAAATTCCAGGTTAGGATTAAAGTAACCTGAATTAACAAGGTTTTACTCTATATTCCATCAAATTGCTCCATGTGAGGGAACAGGATTTCCTATATAAAACTGAATTAAATGTGAAATAGTATCATGCACTGAACGAAAGTACTTATTTATAATTCTTGCTTTATTTTTACCTTAGCAGATGAGTGGTGGTGTTGCTTAAAGCTTTTGTGTGTGTGTGTGTATGTGTGTGTGTGTGTGTGTGTGTGTGTGTGTGTGAGAGAGAGAGAGAGAGAGAGAGAGAGAGAGAGACAGACAGACAGAGAACGTTCATTACATTGTTTTGTTGTCTGACCTTTTCAGTATTTTAGCTCCAGGCCATTTGTGGAGCAACACTGGGAGTCTTGTAGGAATTATATATAGCAAAATGTCACCAGCAACCAAAGACATTCTGTTCCCCTCTTCCAATCCAAATACTTGAAATTCATACCCTGAACAAAAATCCACAGTAAATTTTGGCCTGGCGAGCATAGCATTATATTTGTGCATGGGAGGTTTTATTTGTCATTTCTGTTCCTAGTACAAGGGAAAGAGAGCTGGATGGGGGTCAGGAGACACAGTGAGCCCCCACCGCAGCCCCATCAGCTCTTGCTCTGTGACTATAATATGAGTTGTGCCAGAATGACACTGTGTAGCACTTCACAGTTTAAAAAGCACCCCCAGACTTTAGTTCATACTACTGTATTATACACTTGAAGTATGCTGAGAATAGATCTGAAGTTTTCTTACCACACACACAAAAAGTGGTAGCTATGTGAGGTGATGGATATGTTGATCAGCTTGGTTGTGGTCATCATTTCACAGTGTATGCCTATATCGAATCACCACATTGTGCACCTTAAATACATACAATTTTTATTTGTTAATTATACCTCAATAATGCTGGAGGGAAAAAATCACCCTCAGCTTTTAACCCTCACAACAGCCCACAGGAGATGGCCAGGCAGATATTATTGTGCCCACTCACACTTGAGAAACTGAGACAGAATCGAGCAGTGGAGTGACATGCGCAGGTCACTCGGCTGTGTGTGGGAAGCCAAGTTGGGTCTACAGGCTCCCGACCCACGCCCAGCCCTCTTAGCCCCGACTGTGGCAAGTCCCTGCCTCTGCGTGTCTGCCCCTGTGACACGATCCCATGTCCAAGGACCCCCACCAGCAGCTCTGACCAGATAAGGCTCTGGAGGGACCGTGGCAGGAGCAAATATTTGCCCACCCATTAGCATTTCTGCAGGACGGGGTAAGCCATGCACAAAACTATGAGGACAGAAAAAGTGTTTTCTGGGACGTTTCAGTGCTCCTCATTCCCTCATAGCCACCGGCCTCATCAGAAAGATGCCACTGAAAGCCCTGACTTCAACATCATACAAGGTATCCATGTAACAAAAGCATTTATACCCCTTTAACATTTTGAAATTTTAAAAAATATATTAAAATGAAAAGAAAGATGCCCCAATTAATTGGTACAAATATACAGTTAGGTAGAAGGAACAAGATCTAGTGTTCACTTACACAATAGTTAACTTTAACCATCATTTATTATATATTTCAAAATAGCTAGAAGAGGAGATTTGGAGTGATCTCAATATGAAGAAATGATAAATGTTTGAGGGTATAGATATCCAAGTTACCCAGATTTGATCATTACACCTTGCTTGTATCAAAATATCACATGTACCCAACAAATATGTACAACTATTAGATATCCATAAAAATTAAAAATAAATAAGTTGAAAGATGCCCCAAGAGCATAGGAAGCCCACCAAGTGGGTGCGCCAGCCACCTTGTCTAACAAGGTAAGAAATCTTTCTACAGCTGGTCCCACGCTGGTCCCAAGCCTATAGTTTGCACTAGCTTGGAAGGGCAGGCCACTTCTCCCTGTCATGTGTCCTGACACTGCTTACATATCAATCAGGACATTTTTTCTCAATGACCATGACCTCATGAATTGACCAGAGATGAAACCTATTTTTTGTCCATGTGTTAAGTAAGTTTTAATAATTCATACCACACTTGCTTCCAAAAAGGCTAAGAGATAACAACAAAACTATCAAACACCAGGATCAAAGAGCAAGAATGGAATAAGAAGGAAATCTGGATGCAGAAGGCCAAGGCTTAGGGGGCCTATTGCAAATGAGCAGAAAACTTCACTCTCAGCTTCCTTACCGACAATTGTTAAAAGAAAAATAGGGGCCAGGCACAGAGGCTCATGCCTGTAATCCTAGCACTCTGGGAGGCCAAGGCAGATGGATTGTTTGAGCTCAGGAGTTTGAGACCGGCCTGAGCAAGAGTGAGACCCAGTCTCTACCAAAAATAGAAAAAAATAGCCAGGCATGGTGGTGCATGCCTGTAGTCCCAGCTACTCGGGAGGCTGAAGCAGAAGGATGGTTTGAGCTGAGAAATTTGAGGTTGCCATGAGCTAGGCTGATGGCACAGCACTCTAGCCTGGGCAACAGAGTAAGACTCTGTTTCAAAAAAAAAGGAAAAATAGGTTATAAAACTCCAGCAAACCCAGTCACTTTTTAGAAATACCCTGAATTCTAGGAGGAAATTCTAACAGAGATTTTAAATAAGACATAGCAAGCAGCTTCATGGGCATTCTCTTCCCCCACCAAGGCAGTCTCTCTTGAAGGTCTCTAGACTGTCAGAATCAGAACCTCATTTAAAATGTGGGTTCCTGACCCCTGTCCCACCCTCACTGAGTGAGACTCCCTGTGGGATGGGCCTGGTGACCTGCTTTTTAGACAAGTTCTTTAACTGATTCTTCTGTACCTGCAAGTTGGAGAACACCTTCGCCAAGATGTTAGTAGATGACAGTGGCTTAATCTAATGGCCTTTCCCAACCTTACATCTTACCGGGGAATAATGCCTGAACCCAGAGAGATCTCTAGTGAATGAACTCCAGGCCTCAGGGTCCAGCAGGGGAGATGTTTGGAGGCTGCAGAGGTTCCCCAGCTACCTGTGGTTGGGAAGCTGGGCTCTTTGCATGTCCTTGGGTTTGGCATGAGCTTTCTTGGGGGATCTTAGGTGTCCACGGGCTATGGAGAAGGCAGGTCCCATCTCAGCCCTCCTGGCACTCTCAGGGTTGCCATGGCAACCCATGGGAGCTACCAGCCCAACAATAATGTTGGCTTGTGTGACCACAAGCCCAGTGCCCTACTCTCTCCCTTCCCCATCCTTGTCCACGATGGGGCAGGCAAGGCTTCAAGCCTAGGAGTCCAGGAGCCAGCCAGGTTGCAGAAACCTAGATGAAGGAACTAGGCCACCTCTTGCCCCTGGCCTGCACCTCCCACCTCCCCAGTGCAGCTGGGATCTGCCAAGAATATGCCGCAATGGGAGGTACATTTTCTCCTCTCCCTCCACACAGGTTTGGGATAAATTGCCTCATCCAGTTTGAAGACTTTGCCAATGCCAACGCCTTCCGCCTGCTCAACAAATACCGCAACAAATACTGCATGTTCAATGATGACATCCAAGGTAGGTTTCCACCCCCCTGACAAAGCCACTGGAGACTAACACCTTTTTTCAAAGCTCACCAGGATGCCTAAGGGGTGGGGAAGGAGCATCACCTCATAGCTGGTTTGCTGCCAGCAGTTATTAAAGAAAGAATGTTAAACTTGGATTCAACTCCCACTTGGCTAATTCTTAGTTATGTGACCCTGAACAAGTCCCTTAACTTTGCTAAGCCTCAGTGTCCTTGTCTATAAAATGGAGATCATTACTACTGCAAAGGTAGGTAAGAATTATGTGATTTAATATATGTAAGAAATTCTAAGCCTTGTAATTTACTAGCTAGTTGAACTTGGACAAATCACTTCTCTGACCACAGTTTTATCATCTATTGAATGGAGATGGTAATAACTGCTTTGGAAGAGTATTGTGAAAATTTAAAGAGCTAATGTATAGAAAGTACTAGCACATATAACCCATTGGACCAAAACATCAATCTCCATAAAAATGACCTTCCCCAGCCATAAGAACTTGCTTTTGGATTTTCTAAACACAAGGTGTATCCCTGACAGGGAGTCAGGACAATTCCTTCTCTGAACTTGGCTGGAATGTGTGCTGCTCAGAAAGATAACCCTGACAGACACTGGCACCAGGGACACAGAGCACTTCAAAAGACAAGATGAAGCATCTTTAGTTCAGGGTCCACGTGGTTACTTATTCTATGGCCCAGAAATATCTGAAGGCCCTTGCTTCTTGCTGTGGAGGTGCTAGTTTATGAAGGTAGGGTAGAAAGACTGGCCTCTCAAGAATTATCTTGAGATAACTGAGAATTAACTTGAGATAATTAACTGATCCAGGAGTTCACAGGGAGGAGCACTGTGAGCTATTCCTAGCATTTTGTAAAGCCCAGAAGAAATCTTGGTGACTCCATGTAGGTTATCATTTAATAAATGAGGCTTGTCAAGCAAAATCATTTAGAACAAAAGATCTATGTCAGATAGAAAGAACAAGTTGGTGGGGGGCAGGTGTTTGTGCTTAGAGATAAAGATTGGCCAACTTCTTGTCTTGCCAGATGTTTTCTCTAGAAGCACAAAGAGATTATAACTTTTCATCAAGTGAGTTAGAGATAGATCTAAGAGTATCCAAACCCAGGTAATAATAGCTAAAGTTTATAGCTGAATGCTTATTATAAATCAGGCACTGTTCTAAGCATTTTACACATTTAATCTTATGAGATGTTAGCATCTCTGTTTTATAAATGAAGAAACTGAGGCACAGAGAGAAAGTAACTTTCATAGCCAGTAAGTGTAGAGTTGGGATTTGAGCCCTGGCATTTGGACTCTAAATTCCAAGTTCATGACCACTCACCATACCATTCCCAGATCTGATACTCATATTGCAATCCAAGTGTTTTCTTTTTTTTCCCTCATGGTCTACATTATAGGGTATAAGAAATGTGGTAGATGATTTTTTTGTATTGGGTGTCATAAATTTTTAAAAGGCAAGATATCAGAGTTACAGCATACTGCTAGATAATTAAGTTCAAAATACATGACTTCAGTGTCTGCAGAGTGGGTGCCCAGAGAGAGGAGACCCAGAAGGGGAAAGCTGGGTCATGGAAGCGCCTCCACACCAGCTGTCTTCCCTCTGTGTCCACCTTGCCCGGATGCCCGGGCCTGGGGCAGGCATTGGCAGGCCTAGCCCAGTGTCACCGAGCCAGCCAGGACACAAGCAGGGCAGGATAGTGCCATCCAGGAAGACTGGCTAGGGGAGGAAGCATTCTCTCCCTGCTTCCAGTCCAGTCAGGCAGGGGTGGGTGTGGCCCTGGAGGAAGCACCTGCCGCCAGCCCCTGCCCAGCTACCCCGGCATGCCACTCACACGTGAGTCAGCCGCGGGACAGCCAGCCCCCTGAGCCCACTGGGCTCCCAAGGCCAGAGGGTGGGAGTGGAAATCACGTCCATGCAGCCGGCGCACCTGGTGCACAGTCTCCAGATGTACAGACACACAGATAGCCACGTTTGTCTACATCCTCATAAACACACTCACAGGGACACAGCCGGGCCCTGCCGGCCCCCAGCCCCCATCCGCCCATACTGCTGCCAGAAGGCACCGCTGAGATGAAAATATGACTCACCATGCCACCCCCTCTCTTGAGAAAGTTCACACTCCTCCACTGAAAACATAAGACTTCACGATCTCCCTTCTCCTCTGACCCTGCCTTCACTTTGACTCCTGTGACCTCCTTACCGGTCATTCCTCTCTGCGTGTGAAAGTCCCGCTCACTGTTTCCCATCGTCTTGGCGGGAGCAACTCCTACTCACCCTTCAAGACTCAGCTCCGGGGTCCCCTGCCCAGGTGAGGCCCCACATGAGCCCCTGCTCCCCCAGTCTGATTCGGTACACACCCCGGTGCTCCCCTCTGTTAGTCTCTCTCTCACCACCCCGCCCCGCGAGATGGCAAGCTCCCTTCCACAGGCAGGAACTGCGTCTTATCTATTCTTGTTCCCCGGCTCCCGGCACAGTGCCTGGCTCATTATAGATGCTTAATAAATGTTTAAAGAACAAATGAATGATATCTACACACACAAACTCACATTCTACGGGCACACCCACCCATTCATGTGTTATGTCTACTCTGAACACCCCCATGTGCTCCTACTCAGATGTATACACATATTCAGATGTATACACAGATGTATACACATACGTATGTGTATACATATGGAGATAAAGGGCACAATCCAGCGTGGGCTGAATCTTCCATGTCGGACCCTTAGACCTGGAATTCCTCGCCAGTCTTATCACTGCCCATGCAGCAATGAGAACACACATCACAGCTTCTGCTCCCATCGCTAACCAGCCGTGACCGTGGCGGGTCCCTTTCATCACTGGGCCTCATTCTCAGGTCTGTGTGCTGTAGGAGTCAGAGGAGGGGATGGGGACAAGGAGCAGGGGACGAGAGCAGCTGGATGCCGGGAAGCATCCAGCTCAGATGTATACACATATTCACTCAAGATTCTCACAGAGATTTCTATGTCGATGCCTAGCTAAGGGGATATTTTGAAGAAGTCGGTCTTAGAGCCTTTAAAATAACCATTCTTTAAAGAATTATCTCCTCATCGATCACTATTACTTCAAGAACGGTACTCCCTTTCGCCATCCTTTCACCAACAATATTTTGGAGCTGGCCTTTGTGGGAGGTGGGAAGTGCGGGTGCTGGGTCAGTACTTCCCTCTAGTTGGTTATCCTGAGAGAGGAGAAGTGCGCATGCGCGAGGTGGGTGATGTATACACATACAGCAGATGTATACGCATATTCAGATGTATACACATATTCACAAGTGTGTATACACATATTCATAAGTGTATGCTGCATGTGTACACGTGGAGTTTTTTGTTTTCAATTAAATCGATTCATTTGTTTAAATTCATTTGTTTAAATTTTATGTCTTGCTTTTAGAGTCTATTCGCTCCCAGGCAAAGCCAAGAGGGATAGTTTTCTGGGTCCCTGAGCAAACAGAAGAGGAATTTCCCATTCTTTTCTCAGAAATTAAAGACTGAAGCCATCAATCTGGAAGTCATGAGGAGAGCTGGCAGGTAGTGCTGGAACGGCAGTAGCACGTCGATCAGTGCAGCCTGCCATTTAGGTGTGACCATGTCTTAACAACAGTAAAGAGGTGGGCATGGACATGCACTGCCCACCTCCTCCTGCAAGGAAGGGCTTGTTGCCCAGCTGACTGCAGGGCTGTCAGCACATCAGGTAGAGCCTCAGCTACAGAAAGCCACCTCACCCACGGTCCTGCCCTGCTGGGGCCATCCTCATGCAGGGATGAGGGAATACAAAGGCCTAGCTGCTTCAGTCCAATGGACAGCTCAGTCCAGAACAGCTCGAGCTCCCTGTGAGGATGGCTGAGGCTTTGGGGCCTATGTCACAGCTCAGCTTCCCCCCGGACCCATCCTGCTTCCTTCCCCTCCTTCCCACAAGGGTACTTCCTAAAAACATCCCCGACATCCATATGTCTCAGAATCTGCTTTCTAGGGGACCCAAACTGTGCCAAATATTGATATTTTGCATGCACACAGAAATTTAGGTTGAAAGAGTGCTTTTCATCCACACTATCTCACAAGTTCCTGGCAACAACTCCCTCCCCTTGTGGGAAGGCAGACATAGCTGTCCCACATCACTAATGAGAAAACTGAAGTCTAAGGAGTTAAAGCTCGCTCACGGCCCCACTGCCAGACAGACGCAAAGCTGGGACTAGAAGCTAGTTATTTCTGACTTGGAATTCTCCCCACTCTCGGTGATACCAAACTGCCTATTGCTCCCGTGTGTGTGTGGGGGGGTGGTGGGTGGAGAGGGTCTTCTCATTAAGGACTAAATTCCAGACCTGCATGAGTGTGGCAGTCGCTGCTTCCCGGCATCCAGCTGCTCTCGTCCCCTGCTCCTTGTCCCCATCCCCTCCTCTGACTCCTGCAGCACACAGACTTGAGAATGAGGCCCAGTGATGAAAGGGACCCGCCACGGTCACGGCTGGTTAGTGACGGGAGCAGAAGCTGTGATATGTGTTCTCATTGCTGCATGGGCAGTGAGAAGACTGGCGAGGAATTCCAGGTCTAAGGGTCCGACATGGAAGATTCAGCCCACGCTGGATTGTGCCCCTTTATCTCCAAATGCAAAGTAAGGAGAAATGAAATAGAAGACTACATAGCTGTGTTCAAAAGTAGGAGAGGAGTACCTCCATGCACAGGATTGAAGAGGGTTGGGAGACGGAGGGAGGGAGGAGTGAGCAGTGAGGAATCACAGTAAATGGAAACCAAAACCACACCGCACGTGGGAGCTGGGGACCAGCCCAGTCCACCCAGCAGGGCCTGGGGACAGATTCTCAGAATCTGCCTGGGACCCACATGTGGCAGAGGCTGGAACCAAGCAACCCACGTGAAAATGAGACTAGGGTTGTGCTACCAGCTCTGCACCCCAGCCCAGCCTCGTATCCTCAGTGGAACAAGGAAAGATACAACTGAAGTCTG